CCTTCTCCTCCTCCTCCTCCTCCTCCTCCTCCTTCTTCTTTTTAATTTGCCAGAGTGCACACGTGCTTGCTGCAGGGAGAGAGGAAGAGAGAGAGAGAGAAACTGAAAAAGCACCCCCCCCTCATGGGACATGGTCACATTGCAATCCCTTCTCCATTTCTCCTTTCATGATTTTGGGCACACATGCATATGCACCAGGGCTTTTCAAACCACTGGGTCTGAGACTCAAATCCCTCAGTTGAGCCTATGGGATCCAGCTACCTTAACCACCAGGCCACCAGCTGGCCCACTAGGTTACCTTTAACAGCATCTCTTTTTATCCCCTCTTCTGGGCCGAACTCCTTAGGTGCTAGGGGCCTAGAGTGGGACCTGTTTTATGACCAGGTGCTTGTTAGTCTTGGAAAGCCCGTTTTCCCTTTGGCCCAGCATGTTTCTGTGTGCTGCCAGTGGCTCTGCTGATAGTTTCTTGGGGCCCTGTTCACCTTTGCCCTGGCTCCTTCTGTTGCTGAGGATATCTCTTCAAGAGCCAGCTGTGACTCCTTATAACTCCTGCCTATTCAGGTGGCAGCCCCTCCCCCATGTCCACACTCCTGCACCTGAATCCAGGAACCATCACGGGGAAGAGAGAAGGCAGCCCCTCTTTGCCTGCTGGCTCTGCTGCTCTAGCTAGCCTGTATGATAAAGCAGGAACTCATGTCTGAGGTCATACATGTTCCCAGATCCAGAGTAGATATCAGGCTCTCCAAGAACTTCCTCCCCTCCTTCCACTGAGATAACAGCACAGCAGGGGCCCTGCCAGGCACTCCTTGCTCCTGGAGGGTCATCTCTTGCTGGTTTTGTAGGGTGCAGAGGGACTAATTTTTTTAAAATAGATTTTTGCTATAGGGCATATGTGCTTGCTGCAGAGACAGAGAGACAGAAAGGGAGAAATCACCCCCCTAAGGGAAATGGCCATGCTGCAATCCCTTTTCCTCCATTCTCCTCTCAGGATCTTGGGCATATACGCGCACACACACACACCCTGTGTGAATTTGAAGGCACCGAGTCTGGGACTCGAACTATGGTCAACTATGTGGGAGTCCAGCAACATAACTATTATGTCATCTGCTGCTCCTGGGACTAACTTTTTTCTATGCAAAAATTATACTGCTGATCACTCCCCTCCACCCCTTAAGCTTTGAAGTTAGTAAGGTGTAATGACAGACAATGAACTGCATATATTTAAACTGCCCAGTGTGGTCAACTTTGCCGTATGTATACACCTGTGACTTTCCTTTTCCTTGCTCCCATTTTCATATAGACTGGGAAGGGGATGGGGTTGTGGCTGGTGGTAGCTTTGAAGGCTGAGGTGGGTGGTAAGTCATTGCCCTATTTATGGCTGTCTTTGGAATGTAGGTACCTAGTGCTTGTTTCTCCCTGCTGTGGACCTTTGCCATTAATTCAGGGGTTAGAGCAGATGTCCCACACTGCTGTTATATGTTCTTATATGCTGTAATGCTGAGTGTCCAAACTGTTCCCCGAATTGCTCCTTCTCCGAGGAGAGATGGAGGCTCTGAGGCTGTCTTTCTACTTTAGACAGAATAACTTATAACTTCCTCTGTGTTATAGGGGGCCTCCCCTAAATAAGATTTCCCTTTGAGCAAAGGGGTTCTGTGACTAGAACATGTTTGAAGCGCACTACTAGAGGCAGGTGATGGTGAGGGGCTGAAGGGTTTTGACTGGTAGCATGGTCAGATTGCACTTTAGAAAGAGCAACTTGGATTACAATGTGGGGAGCAGATCAGTGGGGCTGTAGTGGATTTGGGGAACCCAGCTAGGAGGCACTGATGGAGGGCAGTGGTTTCTAGTCAGACCACATAGGAACCAGGTTATACACCGTAGGCAGATTTCCTTCTTGCAAGGCTTCTTAGAGCCTTTGATTGCTAATGTGCACCGTGAGTTTCCAGAAGAGGGGTAGCATAGGCATAGCTGCTCTGAAATGCTTGCTTCCCTGATCCCTTTTTCCATAGCACCTTGTGAGGGGCCAGTGTTGTTTAGAGCACACTTCGGAGAATGCAGAAATAGTCTTTCTTTACAAAGTCTTCAAAAAGTTCACGGATGATGTGTATTATGAAACTATGTATGGATTTAAAAATTGTTTGTGCCAAAATAAACTTGTACTATAATTTTATTAGGTCATCAGAAAAGTCATGACTTTTCTTTTTTTTTTTTAGGAGGGAGAGCTTCTTTTTGCTATAGGGCGTGTGTGCTCCCCAGAAAAACAGAGAAGGACAGAGAGACAAAAAGTGAGAAATCACCCCGAGGGGGGATGGCCACGCCACAGTCCCTTCTCCTCCATTCTCCTCTCAGGATCTTGGGCATGCACACACATGCGCCCTGCGTGAGTTTAAGCCACTGGGTCTGGGACTTGAACTGTGGTCTACTACATGGGAGTCCAGAAACATAACCATTACACCGACTACTGGCCCCAGAAAAGTCATGACTTTTAAAATGTTTCTCTATGCAAAAAGGTGTCATAACTTTCTCAATGACCCAATATTTTTCTATGAACATTTTGAAGTGCTATTGTATTTTTTTGTATTTCAAAGAAATCAAAGTTTTTATTATAATTTTGGGTCCAAAATTCTCTCTGTGACTCTACATATTCAATCCTTTCATCAGAATTCATTTCTTTTGTTCTTTTTTTTTTTTTTAAAAAAGAGACATTTGATGTAGGGCACGTGCACTCGCTGGAGAGACAGAGAGAGACAGAAAGCAAGAAATCACTCCTTGGGGGGATGACACTATGCCACGATCCCATCTCCTCCATTTTCCTCTAGGGATTTTGGGTATGCAGGTACACATGCCTGGTGTGATAAGCCACCGGAGACTTGAACCGTGGTCGACTAACTACATGGGAGTATAGTGATATAACCATTATGCCATTTGCTTAGTCCCTCTTTTTTTTTTTTTTTTTTGCCATGGGCTGTGTTCACTTGCCAGAAAGGGATAGAGACAGTGCAAAATGATCTCCCTTCTCCCTTCTCCTCCATTCTCCTCTCGGGATCTTGGGCACGCACGCACACGCGCCCGGCGTGAGTTTTAAGCCACCGGGTCCGGGCCGCGAACCGCGGTCGACTATGTGGGGGTCCAGCGACATAGCCATTACGCTAACTGCTGGTTCCCCCTCTATTTCTTTTTTTTTTTTTTTGCCATGGGCTGTGTTCACTTGCCAGAAAGGGATAGAGACAGTGCAAAATGATCTCCCTTCTCCCTTCTCCTCCATTCTCCTCTCGGGATCTTGGGCACGCACGCACACGCGCCCGGCGTGAGTTTTAAGCCACCGGGTCCGGGCCGCGAACCGCGGTCGACTATGTGGGGGTCCAGCGACATAGCCATTACGCTAACTGCTGGTTCCCCCTCTATTTCTTTTTTGATAGAGGTTGTGTGCACTTACCAGAGAGAGAGAGCGAGCGATAGAGGGAGAGGGTGAAAACACCCCCCATGAGGAATGGTCATGCCACAATTCCTTTCCCTCTATCTCTTCCTCTTTTTGGGATTTTGGGTAGGAAGGCATACGGACCTAGAATGTTTCTCAAGCCAATAGGTCCAGGTCTTGAACCTTGCCTTCGGCCATGTGGGATCCAACCACCTTAACCACCATACCATGGAACTGGCCCCAGAATTCATTTCTTCATGGCAAATAGGTACTGTGGGAAGAGTTTTATTATTTGTTTTGTTTTGTTTCTTTTTAGAGGTTCTTGCCTTAGGGCACATGTGCTCACCAGAGAGAGAGAAAGAAACAGAGAGAGACAGAGAAAGACAGTGAGGCAGAAAGGGAGTGAGGGAAAGAAATCACCTCCTAGGGGGATGGCCATGCCACAATCTCATCTCTATTCTCCTGCTAGGATCTTGAGCACACATGCACATGCATCCAGCATGAGTTTCAAGCCACTGGGTCTGGGATTCGAATCACTGTTGGCTATGTGGGAGGCCAGGAACATAACTACTAGACTATCTACTGGTCCCAGTTTTGTTGTTTTATTGAAAGGTATTTAAATTCCAGTGGCCTCCAGGTATAATAAAAGGACTGCCCCTCCTCCCCCCGAACTGGACACATCCTGGATTATCACAGTTCTAGGCCACAGGGTTCTTGACTCCAACCTTTGTGGACCTGGCCAAGTACAAATGGGTATTGTGGAGGGAAGTGGGTGTCAGTGTTGAGATCTAACACTCAACTGCATCATGCTGCTGTGGGTCAGTCCTTCGTTACTTCCAGTCCTCTGACTCCTTGTGCAAGTTATTTTTTGCTACTCTCTTTAACATTCCAGGTCTCAATCTCATTTGCTGTCTGGGATTGCCCTTCTAAGCTTGTTTGCTGAGCCACATGTTATGAAACAAAAAGAATGTCTTCCCTGGGGACTATGTGCCCAGCAGCCCTTCTCTTTCTCCACTTAGGAACTGGATGCGTTTCAGCCGTACCCTGTTGAAATCATCCCAGGCAGGATCTTCTTGGGAAACTTTAGTCAAGCCTGCAACCCTAAAATTCAGAAGGACTTGAAAATCAAAGCACATGTCAATGTCTCCATGGAGACAGGGTCCTTGTAAGTAAAGGCTACACCATTGTCATTCTTTTTGCTTGCTTTTTGTTTTTAGGTTAAATATGATTTATTTATACAAATTTCCTAATGCCAAGCATTTATAAAATTGAGAGGCCTCTTGGAAGTCTGCACATCCTGGAGTAGTGTCAGCCCTGCTCTTGATCTGTTCCTGACCTGTACGTTTCCTGGTCCAGCCTTGGCCTCTTCTGCCCCTGCCTGAGACTCACACTCCTCTGATGAATCTCATGGAAAGTAATGCTCTCTTGGTATTTAACATCACCGTGCAAAGTGTCTGTACTGTCTTGCACTACCTGTCACAGGCCCTCTGAAAAAGATCCCATATACCTCGGAATTGCTCTGGTACCAGGGAGAGACACACACCCTCTCTCTGTCTCTGTCTCACACACTTATCATTTTTCAGTGAACAGAAAAGCTCTCCATAGCTTTGCTTGTCGGCCTCTGCCTTCTAGCTGTGTCAGTCATGGTTACAAGGCTGAGCACTGTCAATTCCTCTCTTTCCAGTTCCTGGTCAAAGCTAACAAAGACTCTGGACCAGCAGCTGGTGTAATGGCTATGTCACTGGACTCCCACATAGTTGACTGCAGTTTGAGTCCCGGACCTGCTGGCTTAAACTCACACCGGGTGTGTGTGCTTGCATTCCCAAGATCCTGAGAGGAGAATGGAGGAGAAGGGATTGCGGTGTGACCATCCCCCTGGGGGGTGATTTCTTGTTTTCTATCTCTCTGTCTCTATCTGTCTTTCTGGCGAGCGCATGCGCCCTATAGCAAAAACCTCTCAAAAAAAAAAAGCTAATAAAGACTAACCTTAGGCAGAATCTATGGAAAAAATTCAATAATTCAGCAGTGTATCTGGGAACAAAAAGTGGCATATAAAAATCAATACATTTGATGTATTGATATAAAACAATAATTAGTAAAAGAGAAAATGTCCAATTTATAAAAGGAAGAAAAATTTGATGAGCAGCCTAGGAATAAACTTAAGAAGAAATATGTGGGACCAGCAGGTGACCCCATATATTTTTCTCTCTGTCTTCCTGGGGAGCACATGTGCCCTATAGCAAAAACCTCTACAAAAAAGAAAAAGAAAAAAGAAAAGAAAAGAAAAGAAAAATTTGGAGCTAGCAGCTGGTGTGATGGTTAAAGTGCTGAACTCCCATGTGGCCGACCATGGTTTGAGTCCCATTCCTGGTGGCTTGTTTTCTTGCTTTCTCTCTCTGTCAAATTAAAAATGACAATAACAAATAAAATTTAGTAATTCTAAAAAAGAAAGAAAAGAAAACTGTAAGGGAGATAAAAGAAGATATGGATAGTGGGAGACTCTTACATAGGAAACTGAATGTTATGATGTCACTTCTCTCTGAATTAATCCATAAGTGGGTTGTGTGTATAACTAGACAATTGGCTATTAAGTTCACATAAGGGCTAAGTAGCTTGTGATAATTGAGGGCTAGGTGATTCAGAGTAGACTTCTAGTAAGAATATCTAGACAATTTGGGTCAAATATAAAATCTTCTGCTGTATGTATCAGAGATAAGACAAAACAGTGAAGAATTAGTGGCCAAAATCTTGGTTAAGATTGAAGACTAAAGAGGTAAGAACACAAGTTGGTGTTGTTGTTTCATGAGGAGTATCTGCTGATTCTGGAAGTGGCAGCTAAAGGCTGAGAAGTTGAGCAGAGCGTTAGAAGGTTCGTAGAAGTATGAAGCCCTGGCAAACTTCCTGCATTTGGGTTTGGAACACTAGAGGGATACACCTAGATGATGAATGAGAAGACCAGCCCTCACGGGAACTGAATCTCAACCTCAAGTTGTCTTATTTATTTATTTATTTATTTATTTATTTATTTATTTATTTTTAAGAGAGATTCTTGCTATAGGGTGTGTACACTCGCTGGAGAGACAGAGACACAAAAAGTGAGAAATCACCCCTGGGGGTGGGGAGATGGCCACGCTGCAATCCCTTCTCCTACAATCTCCTCTCAGGATCTTGGGCATGCACGCACGTGCGCCTGTTGTGTTTTAAGCCACCGGATTCAAGATTTGAACTGCGACTGACTACATCAGAGTTCAGCAAGATAACCATTATGCCATCTGCTGATCCCTTAAGTCATCATTTTTTTTTTTTGGAGAGGTTTTTGCTATAGGGCACGTGTGCTTGCCAGAAAGACAGAGAGAGACAGAGAGACAGAAAGCGAGAAATCACCCCCCAGGGACGATGGCCACACCACAGTCCCTTCTCTTCCATTCTCCACTCCAGATCTTGGGCACGCATGCACACGTGCCCAGCATGAGTTTAAGCCACTGGGTCCGGGACTCGAACTGTGGTCAACTACATGGTAGTTAAGCGACATAGCCATTACGCTAAATGCTGGCCCCAAGTTGTCTTATTTTAATTCAGGTGATTCTAGATTGCTAATGCTGCAAGCTGCCTGCTGCACACAATTATAAATCTTCCCTGAAGATAACAATATCTTCCTATGCCTTAATTGCTGTTTCTTTGTACAATTTTATGTATATAGTACCTCGAAATCAATAAAAATAAATTTGTTGGCACCAGCAGATGGTATAACAGTTATGTTGCTAGATTCCCACGTGGCCAAACATGGTTAGAGTCCCAGACCTGGTGGCTTGAAACTCATGCATGCATGCGTGTGCGTGCGTGTGGTTGTATACCCAAGATCCTGGGAGGAGAATGGAGGAAAAGGGATTGCAGTGTGGCTATCCCCCACAGGGGGTGATTTCTAACTTTCTGTCTCTGTCTGAGTGCATGTACCCTATAGCAAAAAGCTTTCAAAAAAAAATTGTCATGTGACAAGATAAGACAATATGGCCAATATTAAAAAAAATAAATAAAATTGTCATGTGAGAAGGTAAGACAATATGGCCAATATTAAAAAAAAAAATGATGGGGTGGGCAGCAGATGGTGTAGCAGGAACAGTCAGGTTCCCACTTGACTGACTGTGGTTCTAGTCCTGGACTTGTAGCTTAAAACTCTACCTGGGGGACCAGCAGGTGGTGTGGTGGGTAAGGATGCTGGACTCCCGCATGGCCAACCACGGTTCAAGTCCCAGTCATGGCAGTTTGCTTTCTTGCTTTCTCTCTCTCTCACTCTGTTCCCCTCTGACTAAATTGAAAATAAGTAAATAAATTTAAAAAGTTAAATAAAATAATTCTTTAAAAACAAACAAACTAAACTCCCTGGGCATATGTGCATGTGTGTCCCAGATCCAGGGAGGAGAATGGAGAAGGGACTGCAGTGTGGCCAATCCACCTGGGTGGGGGTGTGATTTCTCACTTTCCCTCTCTGTCTCTCTCTTGGGTGAGTGCATGCGTCCTAAGACAAAAACCTCTTACCTGAAAAGATAATGGTTGAGACTTTTCCAAAATTGATGAAGTACATTCAATAAGGCTTATAAACGACAAGCAGGATAAATTTTTTAAAAAAAATAACAGTTAGGGGGCCAGCAAGTGGCATAGTGGTTAAGGGCACTGGACTCCCACATGGCTAACTGCGGTTCAAGTCCCAGATTTGGTGACTTGCTTTCTCACTTTCTCTCTCTTACTTTCTCTCTCCCTCTCTGGTCAAATTTAAATAAATAAATAAATAAAGTTAAATAAAATAACTCTTAAAAAAAGAAAAATAGTCCTTTTTTAGGGACCAGCAGATGGCATAATAGTTGTGTTGCTGAACTCCCACATAGCTGACCACAGTTCAAGTCCTGAGCCCGGCAGCTTAAACTCATACCAGGTGCATGTGCGTGCCATGTCCAAAATCCCAACAGGAGAATGGAGGTCATCCCTCCTGGGATGCTTTCTATCTCTCTCTGTCCTCCTTGTCTCTCTGGCGAGCGTACATCCCCTATAGCAAAAATCTCTCTAAGGAAGAAAATTATCTTTTTCTTACTGAATTATTTAGCATCTTTGTTGAAAATTAATCAACTGTATATGGGGATATCTCTAGACTCTTTATTCCTTTCCCTTGGGTCAATGTCTGTCTTTACATGGTGAGTATGCTTGCTGGAGAGAGAGAGAGAGTGAGAAATCACCCACCTCAGGAGGATAGCCATATAGCAATCCCTTCTCCATTCTCCTCTAGGGATTTTGGGTGCACATACACACATCTTCCTGGCATGTTTTTCAAGCTGTCTGAGCTAAGGCTCAAACCGTATAGTTGACCATGTGGAATCTAGCCACTTTAACCTCTATACCACCTGTTGACTCTCACCAATTATACTGTAGATTTATAAGAAATATTGAAATCAGACTGTTGGTTCTCTGATTTTATTCTTTTCCAAAATGGTTTTTACTGTATTTTCTTGTAAATTTAGAACTACTTTTTACTTTTGACAAAGAAAGTCTGCCTATATTTTGATTGGGATTGAACTGAATGTCTTTTCTTTTTCTTTTCTTTCTTTCCTCTTTTTTTTTTTTAGAACATTTCCACTTATATATTGGATCATTGGCAAAGTCGTGATACATTTTTGCATGGATAGAAAAACAGGAAAGAGATCAGCAGATGATGTAATGCTTATGTTGCTGGACTCCCAATGGTTAACCATGATTTGAGTCCCAGACTTAGTGGCTTCAAACTCATGCTGGGCACGTGCGCGTGCCTGCCTGAAATCCCAAGAGGAGACTGGGAAAGAAGAGACTGTGGCGTGGTCATCTCCCACTGGGGGTGAATTCTTGCTTTCTGTCTTTCTGTCTCTCCAGCGAGCACATGCGCTCTATAGCAAAAATCTCTCTCAAAATAAATAAATAAACATAGAAAAAAATTGATCATGACTTTCCGAGGACTCAATACTTTGGTCTTCAGTCTCTCTCAGCAACATCTTGTAGTTTTCAGGGTACATCTTGCACAGCTTATGTCAGGTTTCTCCCTAAGTATTTTATCTTTTTTGGATATGATTATAAATGGTGTTTTTATAATTATGTTTCTTTTTTTTTTTTGAGAGGTTTTTGCTGTAGGGTACGTGCGCTCACAAGAAAGGCAGAGAGAGACAGAGAGACAGAAAGCGAGAAATCACCCCCCAGTGGGGATGACCACACCGCAATCCCTTCTCCTCCATTCTCCTCTCAGGATCTTGGGCATGTATGCACATGCACCTGGCATGAGTTTAAGCCACTGGGTCCCAGACTTGAACTGTGGTCAACTACATGGGAGTCCAGTGACATAGCCATTACGCCAATTGCTGGTCCCAATTCCTGTTTCTGATTATTGCAAAATGTGGGGTCTTCAAAAAGTTCATGGGAAATGTATATTATGAAAAATCTATGTGGGGATTTTGAGATTTTTATACACCAAAATAAACTTGTACTTTAATTCCATTTTCCTCAAACTTTTTGAAGTTCTCTTATATATAGAAATTCAATACATTTTTTTCCAATGTACTTTTTTAAAAAAGAATTGTTTTACTTAACTTTATTTATTTATTTATTTATTTTAATTTGACCAGAGAGGGACAGAGTAAGGGGGGGGGAGTGAGAAAGCAATCTTCCAGGTTCGGGGCTTGAACTGTGGTTGGCCATATGGGAGTCCAGCGCCCTTAACCACTTGCTGGCCCCCCAATGTATTTATTTTTTAAACTGGAATATTGAGTTGTGTGTGTTTATCATATACAACATGATGTTTTGAAGAATACATACACTGTGGAATGGTTAAACCTAGCTAATTAACAAATGCATTACCTTACATAGTTATTTTTGTGGTGAGAACACTTCATATCCACCCTTTTAGCATTTTTCAAGAATACAATATATTGTGATGAACTGTAGTCATCGTTCTATGAATTTATTGATTTTTTTAAAAAGTTTTTTGCCATAGTGCATGTGCGCTCATGGGAAAGAAACAGTGAGAAGGAAAGTGAGAAATCACCCTCTGGAGGGATGCCCATGCTACAATCTCTTCTCCTTCATTCTCCTCCTGGGATTCTGGGCATTCATGCACACGTACCAGGCATGATTTTCAAGCCTCTGGGTCTGGGCCTCAAACTACAATATGCTATATGGGAATCCAGTGTCCTAACCACTATACCACTGCTGGCCCAGAATTGTCCAATTTTATATCTTGATATGTCCTTCAACCTTCTTCCAGAGGCCTCTTCCATTGAGTTTTTCTCAGCTCCCCTGACTTCTCCCTGTCCCTTTCCCCCAGTTAATGTGCAGGTCATTATCCCCACACATAACCAGTTGGATCAGGGCTATTTGTGTCTGCCTTCCCCATCAGACCGGGAGCTCCTTAAGCTTAAGAAGGGCTCATTTGACTCACCTTGTGTCCACCAGGACCCAGCCTAAGGTGTGGTACACAATAGGTGTTGAGTAAATGTCTTTGGGGAGGATGAACGGGAGGATGAATGGAGAGGGAAGCAGGAGGGGAAGGGTGGATGGATGACTGGATGGGGAGGGATCATGATTTGAATCCTGGCCCCAGCAGCTTGAAAAACATACCAGGCACATATGTGTGCATGCCACAAATCCTGATAGGATGGAGAAATGGAAAGTAAGGGATTGTGGTGTACTGTGTCCCATTGTGGGGTGCATTCTTCCCCTCCCTCCCTCTCTGTCTCTGTCTGGTCAATGAACACACCTTGGGAGACTTTTTAAAAAATAATATTCTGGGGCCAGCAGGTGGCATGGTGGTTAGGGGTGCTGGACTCCCACATGGCTAACCATGGTTCAAGTCTCAGACCTGGTGGCTTTCTTTCTCACTTTCTCTCTCTCTCTGATAAAATTGGAAAATAATAATAACAAATAAAGTTAAACAAAAAAAAAATCTTTTTTTTTTTTGAGAGGTTTTTGCTATAGGGCGCGTGCGCTCGCCAGACAGACAGAGAGAGATGGAGAGATAGAAAGTGAGAAATCACCCCCCAGGGGGAATGGCCATTCCGCAATCCCTCTTGAAAAACATACCAGGCACATATGTGTGCATGCCACAAATCCTGATAGGATGGAGAAATGGAAAGTAAGGGATTGTGGTGTACTGTGTCCCATTGTGGGGTGCATTCTTCCCCTCCCTCCCTCTCTGTCTCTGTCTGGTCAATGAACACACCTTGGGAGACTTTTTAAAAAATAATATTCTGGGGCCAGCAGGTGGCATGGTGGTTAGGGGTGCTGGACTCCCACATGGCTAACCATGGTTCAAGTCTCAGACCTGGTGGCTTTCTTTCTCACTTTCTCTCTCTCTCTGATAAAATTGGAAAATAATAATAACAAATAAAGTTAAACAAAAAAAAAATCTTTTTTTTTTTTGAGAGGTTTTTGCTATAGGGCGCGTGCGCTCGCCAGACAGACAGAGAGAGATGGAGAGATAGAAAGTGAGAAATCACCCCCCAGGGGGAATGGCCATTCCGCAATCCCTTCTCCTCCATTCTCCTCTCGGGATCTTGGGTATGCATGCACAAGTGCCCGGCGTGAGTTTTAAGCCACCAGGTCCAGGACTCGAACCACGGTCGACTATGTGGGAGTCCAGTGACATAGCCATTATGCTAACTGCTGGTCCCCCAAAAAATAATTCTTTAAAAAAAAATAATGTTAAACACCTAATCATTTCCTTGAGTCTCCCAAACTTGTGAAGCTCTAGCCACTCTGATCTCCCTGTTGTTTTGCAAGTAGACTAAACATATTTTTCTCAGGGCCTTTATACCTCATTCTCCTTTATCTGGAACGCTTTATTCTCAGACACATGCCTGACTTGTTCTCTCACCTTCTCAGTAAAGCCTTCCTTGGCTGCTTTGTCTGAAACAGCAACCCCACCATCCTTATCCTTCTTACCTTACTCTCTCTACATAGCAGGCTCAGTCACCAAGATTATTAAATATGCTTCCCTATCCTCGGGTAATTATCTGCTCCATATTCTATTTTTGATTAACAACATGCTGCATTATTGAGCACCCTACTGTGTGCCAAACAGATTGCTAAATGTCTTACACAGATTAATCTACTCAATCCACACAATACACGCATGAGCCTTTGGCGCCTTTTTTTCCTTTCTTTCTTTCTTTAGAGAGAGACTGAGAAATCACCTCCTAGGGGGAATGGTCATACCACAATCCCTTCTCCTCCATTCTCCTTTCAGGGTTTTGGGCAGGGACACACGTGTGCCCGGCATGTTTCAAGCTTCTGGTCCAGGCCTTGAACCACAGTCAGCCATGTGGGAGTCCAGCACCCCAACCACTACACCACCTGCTGGCCCCAGGTGCTTTTTCTTTTTTTCCTGAGAGTTACTTGTCCACATCTCACTGATACTGGCCCAGCATCCTTGCCCCGTGGTCCTGCTGCTGTGAATGAGGGGTGTCACAATGGGACTGGGTACAAGCCTGTCCAAATACCTGTGCTGTTCTTCTGTTCAGTTTTTTAGATGACCCTGACAAACTTCTCCACATCAAGATTGAAGATTCCCTGGAAGCCAGTATTTCTCCCTTTTTACGTCACCTCTGTCACTTCATTGGTAAGGGATATTTCCTAATTAGGTAGCAACTGATCTGTGTCCAGAAGTCCCCCCAAAGGGACTGTGGCGCCTCCTTCACATACCTTTTTCTGCTTGTGACTCCTGGCACACAAAAGAAAAAGGGCAGGGCCCAGGCATGCCTGGCCAGGGAGATGGGCCTCAGGATAAGTTCAGCTTCTCAGGATCCCTCACAATACAGGCAGTCACGGCATTCACTTGGGGCCAGTGGCGCCCAACAAAAGCACCAGATTGTGGGTAGAGCACCCTGTCTTTTTGGCCTGGCCAGATGGAGTATTAGCCAACCCTGGGTGCCTTTGTTCATGAAGCCCTATTCTGGGCTGAACTCTGGATTCAGCTGGAGTTGAATCTCACTCCACCTCTGCCCTCACGTCTGGTCAGCCGGGATGGTGCTATAGGTGCAGTGGGAGGAAGACTCCACTGTCTTTCCAGCTCTGATTTTTGTGATGTTCAGTGTGTGCGTGCAGTCCCACTCTGTCCTCCCATCACACACAAGTGGTGCCCACAAGGGACTTAATTCATTGAGAGTGAATTTGCCAGTCATTTCCAGGGCTCAGGATTACCTTGGGAGAGCCAGATACCTGGAGACGAGGCAGAGTCAGGTCAGAGGCTCTGCCCTGTGGTGGTTGCCTGCCTGACACCAGCACACCCGTCATGATTGCAGCACAAGGGGCTGGGGAACGGATTTTGGCCCAACCATCCCAACTGGCCCAGTGGACCACAACTGCCCCTCCACCAGTGTCCAAGACTGAGTCTTCCCAGGTGTTCTACCTTGAGGCAGCACAGCCTTGAGGCACACAGAGGCCACTTCTCTGGCTCTGCCTCACTGGGTTGCTCTGGGCCAATACTTACTTGATCTGTGCCTTAGTCTCCCTATCACATAATCAAGTATTTGGTTTAATCATGTCTGAGTCCTCCTCCAGCAATGACAGATTGTGATTTTACACTTGGTATATATATTTTTTAAATTACAAATAATTATTTAATTGTATTTATTATTACTACTTTTTAAAAATTTGCTATAGGGTGTGTGTGTTCACCAGAGAGAGAGAGAGAAGAGAGAGCAAGAAAGAGGGAAAGTGAGAAAGAAGCCACCAGGTCCAGGACTCAAACTGCAGTTCACCACGTGGGAGTCTAGTGACTTAACTATCATGCCACCTATTGGCCCTGGCACTTGGTATGTCATGTTTATCTTCAGTTCTTGAGGGTTATCAGACCAAACTCAGATGCTAGCTTAGATGCTTAGATCCCCCACCACCTTCTTTGTGCAAAACGCACAGTCCTAGGGGTTATGTGAATATAGTTGACATTTCTGTGCCAGGCACTAGGCTAGTACAGAGAAAACCCAAATTCTATTGGGGTAGGTAGTTGACTATTATCCCATTTTCCAGAGAAGGAACTGTGACTTAGTGTAACTTACCCAAGCCTGACAGCCAGTGAGTGGCAGAGCAAAATTCATACTCAGGCTACACTGCCTCTGCCAGTGACTGAGTGTCCTAGAGGACTGATCCTGTCCTCTCTACCCTGGGAGCCAACTGGTAGCAGAGCTTACTGGGCGGGGAGACTAGAGAGCCAGGAAAAGGCCTTTGCCTAATAATTCTGGATGATCACCTATGATTCTATTGAACTGCCCGGGGATCCCCATTTGCCCACAGTGAAACAGTGTTCTAGAGAAGTCATGCCCAGGATGTGGTATGCTTGTTCTGAACTCACTCTTGTACCATGGGCCCAGTGAGACCAATGGTCCATCAGGAACTTAGGTCTACTTGGAAGAAAGCCATGTACAACTCCTTCACCCCCCACACACTTCTTTTCTTCCTTCTGCAGGAGCTCATCTGGTTCTTGGCTCTGTCATTCTGATCTTCTCTACCCGGGGTATCAGTCGCAGCTGTGCTGTCATTGTGGCCTACCTCATGCACGCGAATGAGCAGACCTTGAGGGTAAGCATTACCCGGGCCAGACTTGACCACAGATATCGTTAGGAGGTGGGATCAGAGCTGGATCTGGGAGCAATAGGACATGGCGCCCTATTGGAGAGTGGGAAGAAGGGGAGGGGAACTCTAGTCTAGTGTGTCACCCAGCACACAACACCTGAAGGTGAGATCCCAAAATGGCATTAGAGACCAGAGGCTAGGACTTTAGAAGCCTAAGGCTGGCACTCAGAGCAGGCCCAGGGACTCAGGCCTGCTAGGCTATGACCAGCAGCACCACCCACATGGCCCCACTGCTGTGAGTCTATCCACAGGAATTTGTTTGAGGTTGTCCTGAGAGAATTGCCTGGGATCACAGAATTGCAGAACCAGGAGGGCATCAGCAGGTGTCCAGTGACAATATTCCTTTACCTTGAGAGCAGGACTCAGAGAGGGAAGGGAAGCCGGGAGCCATCATGGCAAACCTGGGGGCAACACAGAGCTCTGGCTCCCAGGCAGTGCTTTCCTGGGGACTGTCCTGGAGCAGGAGGAGCCTTGCCTGTCACAGACCATTCATAATCTCAGGGGGCTTGAGTAGGACCTGAAAACCCCACATTTACCAGGGCTGTGTTTCAGGAAGGAGAGAAACAAAGAATAACTGCTAATGGAGCCACATGGCCAGAAGTTTTAGATGTTGACCCCATATGCTCTTTGGGGCTGAAGTTGCAGGACAGAGTCTTGGATATCCAGCAATTTCACTTCTGGGAGGTACCCAAAGGCAGTGAAAGCAGGGACAGTGAGAGATATTTGCACATTTGTGTCCATGGCAGCATTATTCACAGTAGCCAGAAGATGGAGACGACCCAGGTGTTCATGAATGAATAAATACATACATACAAGAATAATATCTAGCCTTGGGACCAGCAGTTGGCATAATGGCTATGTCACTGGACTCCCACGTAGTCGACCGCAGTTCGAGTCCTGGATCCGGTGGCTTAAACTCACGCCAGGCGTGTGTGTGTGCGTGCCCAAGATCCCGAGAGGAGAATGGAGGAGAAGGGATTGCGGCGTGGCCATCCCCTCTAGGGGGTAATTTCTTGCTTTCTATCTCTCTGTCTCTCTCTGTCTGTCAAGCGCACGCGCCCTATAGCAAAAACCTTTCAAAAAAAAAAAAAGAATAGTATCTAGCCTTAAGAAGGAAAGAAACCCTGACATTCGCTACCACAGAGATGAACCTTGAGGTTACTATGCTGAACGGAACAAACCTGTCCCCAAATTGTATAATTCCATTTATACTGAGGTACCTAGAGTATCAAAATCATGTGTACAGAACAGCAAATGGTGGTTGTCAGAGGCTGGGGAGAGTGGGAAATAGGGAACTACTGTCAGAGGCTAGGAAGAGTGGGAAATAGGGAACTAACATCTAATGGGTAGCGAGTTTCAGTTAGGGAAGGTGAAAATATTCTAGAGATGATATTGGTGATGGTGCGTAACAGTGTGAGTATACTTAATGCCACTGAACTGGATAACTAAAAATGGTTAAAAATGGGGACCAGGAGGTGGCATGGTGCTTAAGATGCTGGATCCCATAAGGTCAACTCTGTGGTTCAAAGTCCCAGACCCAGAGGCCTGAAGAACACCCTGGACACATGTGTGTGCATGCCCAAAGTTCTGAGAGGAGACCGGGGAAGGGAATGGGATGTGCCCATTTCCCTTAGGGAGTGATTTCTCACTTTCCCTCTCTTTCTGTCTCTTTCTAGTAAGCGTACACTCCCTATGGCAAAAAATCTATTAAAAAATTAAGAGTGAATTTTATGTCACGTATATTTTACCACAGTTTTAAAAAAGAGGGCCTAGATGCAGACACAGAGGAGCTGGAGTCAGAGGATGTGAAGCCCAGATCCCTGTTCTCTTGTCACATATGAGGCAACTTGGGCGGGGGGGATGCTGGGGTTAGTGCCTGCTAGAGGAGTGTTCTGTGTGTACTGGAGGAGAGTAGTGGTGTCACTGTGGAGAGGACTCTCTACCTCTGCCTTGGGAGTCTGTTCTTGGAGGGCCTCTTGCTCTAGGAAGAGACAGCAGGAGCTGGCTCCTTCCTGGCCTGGGCCAGAGGCAGAGTCCCCCTCTCACAGGGCCCTTGGGGAGTTCCAGGACTTAAGCTCCCTGGAGTTTGAAAGGGTGACCTTTACCAAGTCTCAGCCTGCTTTGGTCCCTGATTTCCAGAGAGGGTTGGGCATGCAAGAGTTTCAGAGCCCTCCAACCCTGACATTTAGCATGTTTTTAAACCCTTACAAGCAACTTGCAGTCCTTTCTCTGGCTACATAAAAAAATAGAGGTCATAGGCTGTTTGCCAGGGTCAGCTGGGGCAGGAGCAGATGTGGACAACCTTCTTTTACTCAGCTCCTCGAAGTTTCCCAACAGCTAGGCCCAATCTCCCAAGGCCAGGAGGTATACATAAGCCCTGTCCCCTGCCTTTCCTGGTCCCCATTTGCCTCTCCTGGAGAGAGCCATACCACATCCCCTCTGGGCTCAGACATCTTGGGCAGGTACTTAGGCCCAAGGTCTCGGTGATTCTGCTCTGGGGAGAAATCCCGGCCTTCCTGTAGTGCTGATCTTTGTCTCATCTGCAGGGAAGTCTTGTTGCCAGGCATTCTGCCCAGAGATGCCATTTAAATCTTTTTTGTTCAAAAAAGCTGTGCAGCCCACAGAACTGTGGGCAGGAAGGACAGTCATCATGTCCCTGTGTGAAGGTTAGCTTTCCCTGCTATGAGGTAGTTCCCTGGTCCCTGACACAGGTGGACCTGGGGAGGGATCTCTGGCAGATGTTCCTGCTTCCCATTGTCTGTGTGGTGCTGGGGGTCCTGAACTGGGGATGCCAGGACCTCCGGCTGCTGATAGCTCAGATGAGACTGACAAAGAAAGGTGTGGGCTGCTCATAGACCCAACCTGCTGCTTCCTGGGCCCGATCCCAGCTCCTCAGGTGCTCAAGCCAAGGACTGGGGCAGCAGGGAGCAAGGTGGGAAGAACCTTGGAACCCCAGGTCTGTTAGAATCCAAAGCTGGGACCAGCAGTTGGCGTAATGGCTTTGTCGCTGGACTCCCATGTAGTTGATCGCGGTTTGAGTCCCGGACCTGGTGGCTTAAACTCACACTGGGCGCATGTGCATATGTGCCCAAGATCCTGGGAGGAGAATGGAGAAGAAGGGATTGTGGCATGACCATCCCCCCTGGGGGGTGATTTCGCGCTTTCTGTCTCTCTGTTTCTGTCTGTCTTTCTGGTGAGCTCACATGCCCTATAGCAAAAAACCTCTCCAAAAAAAAGAAAGAAGAATCTAAAGCCACCCCTGACCTGGGTGGGCTATTTATTTATTTATTTGAGAGATTTTTTGCTGCAGGACATGTGTGCTTACTGGAGAGACAGAAAGCAAGAAATCACCACCCTGGGGGCGGGGTGGTGGTGGCCATGCTGCAATCCCTTCTCACTCTCTTCTTGGATTTTGGGCACTCATGCATCACTGGTGTGATTTTCAAGCTACTGGGTCCAGGACTTGAACCTCTGTCGGCTATGTGGGAGTCCAGCAACGTAATTGCTATGACATGTGCTTGCCCCTGGATATCTTTCTATTTATTTGTGTCTTTCATTTCTCTCAGCTGTGTTTTGTAGTTTTCAGTGTACAAGTCTTTCATCTCCTTGGTTAAGTATTTTATTCTTTAAGCATTTAAGTATTCAATCTTTTTGATGCTATTATAAAGCAATTGTTTTCTTAATTTCCTTTTTGGATTGTTCATTGTTATATATAGAAATACGGGGCCAACAGGTGGCATAGTGATTAAGACACTGGATTCCTATGTGGCCAACCACAATTCTAGTCCTGGATCCAGCAGCTTGAAACTCATGCTGGGTATGTGTATATGTGTGCCCAAAATCCTGAGAGGAGACTGAAGGAGAAGGGATGGAGGCATGGTCATCCCCTCTGGGGGGGATGATTTCTTGCTTTTTGTCTCTCTCTCTCTCTCTCTGTCTCTCTGGAGAATATGTGTGTCCTACAACAAAAGTCTCTCTAAAATTACACGTATATTTAGAAATGCAACTGATTTTTTTAAAAGAATTATTTTATTTAACTTTACTTATTATTATTATCATTATTATGTTCCAGTTTGATCAGAGAGAGACAGACAGAGAGAGAGGAAGTGAGAAAGCAAGCCACCAGGTCCAAGACTTGAACCGTGGTTGGCCATGTGGGAGTCCAGCGCCCCTATCCACCATGCCACCTGCTGGCCTCATTAAATGCCACTGATTTTTGCATGTTGGCTTGTATCCTGCGACTTTGTTAAACTTGTTTATTAGCCGTAATTTTTAAAAATGAAAATAAGCTTTATTACATCAAGTAATAAATACATACAAAGATGCAAACAGTTTTAAGTCATTTTCTTCCAGATGTTTTGATCAACTTACAGTAAATGCAAAACTGAAATCTACACACAGTCTTTTATGACAATGTTCGGGGAACCCTGTTGGGTTTGGTTGCTCTTTCTTCTGTATTTATAACTTGTACATTTTTAAAGTTGACTTCAAAGCACTAACAGTCATGCAAATACTTAGGCAGAAAAGAAGTTAGGTTAGGCAGAGTCTACACCAGATGGACGGCTCTGTGCTGTCAAGTGTGCCTTAGAAACAAGACCCTTAGAGGTGTGTTAGCTTCGGAAAGAGTCAAAGGCCAACTTGGGTAACATAATGTATTTAAGAAAGGAAATGAAAAGGAGACACTGGTATCTTGGAGGCAAACTCCAGTTTGCTGTAAGGTAACTTCGCGTGCATATCTGAAATCAACACTAAAAAAAAAAAAGAAAAAACCTGGGTAGTTCCTAACTACTTAAAATGCAAACCCTAACTAACTGCAAAATCCTTTCTCAACCTTTGAGACGTAGTTTCAGAGCCTAGTGAAACGCGGAGGAAAAACCAAACTGCTACCATTGTGAAAATGAGTTTCCTCTGAGCCGGGAGATGGCTTGTAACTTCTCGTCCTGTGCAGAGGCGGGAGGTCCCGGAGCGGGCCCCTGGGCATTCCTCTCCGCCTCTGCCAAGCCCCCGCGAACCAGCCCTCTAGCGTGAATGATGCCTCGTTTCAGCCGCTCCATGGCGCTCCTGCTGCCCGCGTAGGTGGGTCTGATCTTCCCCAGCTCCTGGATGATGGCCAGCAGCTCTGCGTACTTGCTCTGGGGCACCTGGCTGCTCCCCGTTCCCTGGGTGTAGCCTAGGGACCGCGGCCCATAGTCACTCAGCAGCTGGCGGTACTGTGAGGACGTCGCCATGCTGGTAGAAGGCGAGTGGACACTCCCAGCGGCGTTGAGGACGGCGGCGGGCAGGTGCGCGGCCAAGTTAGGCTTGTAAGATCCCCCGCGTGGAGGTATGGCCGTCCGCTGCCCGCCGCCGCAGTGTATCACGCATACATCGCGCGGCCGCAAACTGAGCCGCGCCGGGTCTGCCGGCCGGGAGGGGGCGGCCCAGAGTCAGGGGGCACCTCCGGGTGCGCTCGGCGCCGCAACTTGCCAAAGTTTGGGGGGCTGGGGTCCCTTAGCTGTAATTTTTTTCCCCTGTTGAATCTTTTAGAATTTTCTACATAGGAAATCATGTCATCTTTGAACAGAGATAGTTTTACGTCTCCATTTTAGATGCCTTTTATTTCTTTTTTCTTGTATAATTGTTCTTGTATAATCAAGTAGTACATTGAGTGTAAGTGGTGAAAGCAGGCATCTTTGCCTTATTCCTGATCTTAGAGGGTAAACTTTCAGTCTTTCACCATTATGATGTTAGCAATGGGTTTTCATATGTGTCTGTTATTAGGTGAGGTAGTTTCCTTCTATTAGGAAGGAAGCCACTTCCTTTACCTTTTCCTTTTCCCTCTGTCCTCAATCCACGTAGAGGTTAGCTGCTCATCTTCCTTCATGTAATAACCCTTCTAACACCTTAGGGTGGATGCCTGAAAGGAGGCAGCTTCAATGTTCCTCCTTCAGAGAATGTGCTCACGGGTCTCTTTCTACTTCCATTAATTCATCCGTTCACAATGCAAATCTTGGTTGAGGTTTCACTGTGCGCAGGCTTGGGCATAGTGCTTTCCTGTGGATAGGCGGTTCCATGTATGCTGTCTCCATCTTTGCAGGAGCCATCTGAAGTAGCCGTTATTACTGTCCTCATATTCAGAAGCAGAGATGCAAAGGTGCTTACCAAGGGCAGAGCCAGCTCCCATGTCTCCTTGCCCTAATGAATTAACTCTGGACTGCTCTCGTCCTGTGTTTAGCCTTTAAGGCATGTTGCTGGCCCCTAGGCAGGTGCCTCCTGTCCCTCCTAAGCTACTCTGATCTGGGTGGAAAGGGCCCAGGGCCAATCCTGTTTTCTTTCTGCATTCACAGAGATCCTGGGCCTATGTCAAGAAGTGCAAAAACAACATGCGTCCAAATCGGGGCTTGGTGACTCAATTGTTGGAATGGGAGAAGATTGTCCTTGGAGATTCCATCACAGACGTCTCGGATCTGCTGTACTGATCCCTGCAGCCCAGTGATGGGTGCTGAAGACTTGGGGGACTTTTTGTGGGTAGAGGGCCAGGGGTGTGTCCTCAGGTTGGTCTGGAATGAGAAGCCTTTGCTGCTTAAAGTCTCATGTCAGCCTCCTGTGTTAGTTCTTCCCAAGTTCCTGTTCACTCTACATAGCAGGTATGCATTGCTCTGACTCACTGGGCACCCAAATTTCTGGGGTGTCTAGGACTAACCCCACTGCTCACCTAAGGGTGCCTCTGACAGAGCATCTGGTTGCTGGAGCACCTGCCCCACACACCCCTGATAACTTGGACTCTTTGGAGGCTACCTGGGGGGAGCCACAGAGATTGCCTTGTGTTGTTCCACAAGGATTTCACATGCCCACCATGGGTGGAGATCCCCTAGCCCCAGAGATGCCGCCAGCCCCAACCTTGGCCTAGGCCCCAAGCCCTACATCTGGAGGCTCCTGGAATGAGGGCACATCCTGGTCCCATCCTGGGTCCCACCCCCCACCCCATGACCACTTGAAATGACTTCCTTTCCCAGCTTTCTACTCATTTCTGCCTGGAGAAGTCACCAAGAGATGTCCCCCTTCCTATCCTATACCCAGGTTTCTAGATATTCCTCATGTCTTAAAGGGAATTGCTTTCCTAATGCACTTCATCAGAACTGGCAACATCCACAGAACCTGGGAGTCAGGAGAGGTCACAGACAAGGGAACTGGTGGGTAATTTCGGATGTCCATCCATCCATGCAGTGCTTTCCCCAGGGTCATTCAGCAAGTATTCCCTGCCACCACCTGGGGGCTGGGGATGTAGAGATGAAATCCCCCTGGCTCTTAGGAGTCTGCAGAGGGATGCAGGGGTGGGGTGGTGGGCCCTCCCCCAAGAGAAGGGCAAGCCTTCTAGGAGGAGTGAAGAGGACTTTTCAGGCAGCACTTTAGTTAGAGTCTCAGTTACAACAGAGCAGGCTCCGCCCTGTAATCGGAAAGTTTAAACAAGGATGTAGCCCTTGTGTTTTAGGAAGGACAGTCTGGTGGCTGAGGGAAAGGACTGTGGAGGTGACCTGCAGGCAAGGAGACAAAGAGGCTGATGTAAAAATCCGAACAAGAAAAGAGACCTGTAATCTCCATCCCCCAAAAGGCACAGTTTCCGAAGGACGAACGCGTTCGAAGCAGGTGTCACCTTCCTGGGCTTTGGTTTGCTCCCATCGTAACGGGACAGGGTACCGCTGGCGCAGCCAATGGAGGCCGGCCTGTGGCTGGGGCGCTCCAAGGTTCCAGTGGTAATCCAGGCCTGGAGTCTCCGGGCAAGCAGCCCGCGGCACACGTGGCCCCGCCCCTGCCTCCGCCCCGGTCCCGGAGTGGCTCCGGCGGGGGGCGGGGCCAGCGTGCTGCCTGCGCCAGGCTTTTTCCCGTTGGTAGGTGGTGGCTCGAGCCCGGAAGCCGACTGGGGCGGAGGCGGAGGCGGAGGCGCCTCGGGCCCGCCCGGGGTGCGGGGTTGTACTCTACTCGGCTCCCGGGCCCGTGCCGTGGCAGCCATGCAGCCCCCGCCCCCCGGCCCACTGAGCGACTGTCTGCGGGACTGGGAGGATCTGCAGCATGACTTCCAGGGCATCCAGGTGAGCGCCGCTGCGGGCGACCAATGGCCCCGAGCCACGTCTCTCTGGCTCGGGGTCAGGGGTCGGGCAGCGCTCGGTCTGTCAGCAGGGAAGCTTGGGGTCAGGGGTCGGGGGTCCCGGCTTCGCCCTAATCCAGGGATCGGTCCCTGGACCCCAATGTCCCTATCCGACCCCTGCAGCATGACTTCCAGGGCATCCAGGTGAGCGCCGCTGCGGGCGACCAATGGCCCCGAGCCACGTCTCTCTGGCTCGGGGTCAGGGGTCGGGCAGCGCTCGGTCTGTCAGCAGGGAAGCTTGGGGTCAGGGGTCGGGGGTCCCGGCTTCGCCCTAATCCAGGGATCGGTCCCTGGACCCCAATGTCCCTATCCGACCCCTCATAAGTGTCCTGCAGCGGTCCCATTTGACCGCTCAGCTCCTGTGACCCCTCTGGGACCCCATTGCCCCGGGCGACCTGGGCCTCCTGCAAGAGCCTCGAAAAGAAGGCCTGGCCCCGCAGCCACCCCCACTCTCTGCACTCCGATCCTAACCTGAACCCTGCCACTTCCCAGGATAGCGGCTGCCTGGGTCAGACCTGGCCGGGCCCATCCTGTATAGATAGGTCAGTCATCAAACGTGCAGTGGGCGCCTACTCAGGCGCGCTGGAGCCAGTGCAGCTTCGGGCTGAGTACTGCAGGAAGCAGCCCGGGAAGTACCCTGGCCTGGCCGCGGGAAGCAGTGTCTAGGTGAAGTCCACTGCTCGCTCGGGGGATGAGGGGTTCGCGCAGGGGGAGAGTGGAGGGACAGCGCCCACCAAGTCCTTTAGATGGGAAAGAGGGGACTTGACAGTCCCATGTGGCAGCCAAGAGGAGAAGGAGGGAAGTGGGCGGGCCGGCAGGACCTCTCTGCCATCTGAATGGGCTCATGCGGGCCCACGGTGGCTGTTCTGCCCAGGGCCGGCAGGAGGAGGCTGCTGTCCACCTCATGCTGGCAGGAAGGTGGTGGCTGTGCGTGGGCAGAGATGGCACATGCTGGGAGCTGGGGCTGTGTGGTGGCTCTCCTAGGCACGAGAAACATGACCCAGGGTAGAGCCCAGGCTGCTGGTTAGTTAGGTCTTTGCCTCTCCTGGACTGGTTCTAGCTCCTTGTCTCCATGGAAACCTATTTGCCTCTTGACCTGCCAAGCCCACTGTGGTTAGTTCTCCCCAAGGCTTTGAACAGACCCAGTATCTCAGTCTAGCCACCACTATTCTGGCTTTCTCACCCCCCGTCTGGCTTTCACTCATACCATCCCTTGCCCAATCTCTAGGCTTTGCCTCCTCGAGACTCACCCACCAGGGCAAAGTGCTCAGGGAAGTCTTAGGCCAAAGGTGCTGGGGGAGGGGAAGGAGAACTGGCTTGTAGCAGGAGGTCCAAGGGCTGAAGCCCCATGGCCTTTAACCCGGGAGGAAGATGCTGGGAAGGCTTGCACAGAAAGCACTTTGGCTGTCCCAGCTCCTCCTGTGCATGCAGGCTGGATAGGCCCTCAGTGGAAACGGAGAGGACTGGGCCTAGAAGGTGAACCTGTATGCCTGGAAACCAGACCTGGGGAGAACAGAGAGCTGGGCGGGGTTGGGGGGCGACTAATAGCTGGACCGAGACTAAGAAATCCTCCAGGGAACTAGCGTTTTGCTAGAGGAGGGATGCTGTGGGGGCCTCTGGACTTACAGGAAGACACCCAGTTCCTTGCTTCATTTGAAGAGAGAGCAACATCAAGGAGGTCCCTGGGCAGGTCCAGCACGTTCTGCCTTCTTTCCTGAGACCCTCCCAAGGGGCTCTGTGGGAGTTTGTGCCCCATACCCTTCCCAGTAGGCTGTGGCTCAGTGGCTCCCCAATCTGCCTAAGCTTTGTCTTCTCCCACCTCCAGGAGACCCACCGACTGTACCGCCTGAAGCTGGAGGAGCTGACCAAGCTGCAGAACAACTGCACCAGCTCCATCACTCGGCAGAAGAAGCGGCTCCAGGAGCTGGCCCTTGTGCTGAAGAAGTTAGGACCCCTGTCCCCGCCTCAGGCTGGCTGTGGGGGTTCTGTCCCGGTGGGGTGGGAAAGCTGGTACAGACTCATGGCGTGACCCTGGGCACTGTTTTTCCCCTCTCTGAGCCTCATTTGCCCTTCTGCCCCACAGGTGTCAGCTAGGACACCTGGGTGCCCACCTGTTCTATCTCTGGCTCTCCCTGCAGATGCAAACCCTCCCTACCGTCAGAAGCCAAGGAGGCTGCACAGGAGCTCGAGAACCAGATGAAAGAGCGCCAAGGCCTCTTCTTTGACATGGAAGCCTATTTGCCCAAGAAGAATGGGTAAGGGTCGGCTACCCCTCAGCCCCCAACTCAGTCCTCAGCTCTCCTTGGGGGAAAGGCCAGAAACCAGGCACCTCCTCGTTCAATCAGTAAATATCCATTGGGCCCACTGTGAGCTGAGCAGGAAGGAGACTTCAGGGGACAGCCCAGCTGATAGTGACAGCTCACCATGATAGGCACTTTGTGTGGGAGTACAGGGACGGTGAGGGACACCTAACCCAGCCCAGGTCTGAGAAAGCTTCTTGAGTAGGATGCCTGAGCTGAGTCTTAAAGGTTAGAGAGAGAGCCAGACAGACACAGGAAGAAGTAACAGCAGGTGAATGCACAGGCAGGGGACAAAGCCAGAGTGACCAGAGCTCAGCGTAGTAGGTGAGAGGGAGCCATAAGACCAGAGGCAGTGACTAGTTGCAGAGCTTGCCTTGGGCCAGTAGCAGGGGTGAGCGACGGGACAAATGTGCACTTAAAAAATCAGCTGCCATCACCAAAGAGGAGGGACAAGACTGAAAAACTCCAGGCTGAGCAGAAGATTCCAGTAGAGGAGACTATGGCAGCAAAATGGGGAGAGAGTGTGTCCCAGCAGGCAAGAAGAAAGTGGTGGCCTCAGATCAGGGGGCCTCAGGGTTTAGTGCTGTAAGGAAGGGGACCTTGGAGAGAAGCACCTGGTAGAACAGTGGAGGTGGAAGTTGATATTGGGATGAGGGGAGACCTGAGGAGAGGAGCCAGACAACTCTTCCGAGCTTGTCTGTGAGTGGGAGAGTAGGAACTGGCAACTAGAAATTAGCACGAGGGTTGAGGGGCCACTTTTGCTTGGGTGGGGGTGTCACTTTGTACATGTAGAAAATTTGAGCATAGCCACCTGCTCAGGAGGGGGCCAGAAAAGGGCAGTGGGTGGTTGGAAGGAAGCCCTTAGGGAGACAGAAGTGCTGGGTGTGGGCTCTCCCTACCCCAGAGTGTGGTAGGAGAGGTGAGGAAGGGCATTGCAGGTGAGGTTGGTGGTGGAGATGGGGTAGAGGATCTGGGAGGAAGGAGTGGAGAGACCTGGTGGGACTGGGTTAAGGAGCCAAGCCACCTGCGGGCCTGGCAGTGAGGGCTGGAGGTGGGGCCTGTTTGGAGCATTGCCCTGTAATCTCTTTGCAGCCTTGGGCAAGTCCCTTGACCACATTGAGCCTCTGTCATTATGGCTTGAATGTGGACAAGAGCCCATGTGTTGCGTGCAGCTGCTTAGTAAATGACAGGGACTTCTGTCACCTTGGAGTTTCTTTGGCAGAGAAGAGCAAGACATGCTTAGTTGGTGGGAGTGATGGAGATACATGGAGTCTGGGAACTAGGAATTGACAAGAAAGTGGTTGAGGCATGAAGAAGGGCATCCCCATGAGACCTGAGTCAGGACAGCATGGGAGGCAAGAGGGAGGGGTGCTCGCAGGCACTCAGCTCAGAACAGAGCCAGAGCTCTGAGTTTCCCAGGGAGGAGGTTCAGGGCGTGGCCTTGGGTGTGTGTGGCCAAGGTAGACTTGGACTAAAGGTTCCTTCCTGGTAGCAAGGAACTATAGGTAGGTGACAGAGGGAAGTCATCCATGCAGAGTCTCCTGCCCAGGCCTGCAGAGCCATCCGGGATGTGTGACAGCTTGCAGTGGGGTGGGAGAGCCAGGCATCTCTTGAGGACCCTGAAGTGGGGAGCTTCAGACAAGACAGGAGGCCCAGATGCTGGTTTACTGCAGGATCTGGAACAGGCAGGGAGAAAGGCTGGGTGTCATGTGAAGTTGGTCTGCAACACCCCCAGGGTCAGAACCCCAAGCCAAGACCATGGGCAAAATAGCCGGCAGTGGCCCAGCCTCTGGCCCAGCTCGCTCATGGCCCTTGGCTTCTCTGTCACTCAGGCCTTTCCTCACTGTCTCCCTCTCTTCTAGGTTGTACCTGAGTCTGGTTCTGGGGAATGTCAATGTGACACTCCTGAGCAAGCAGGCTAAGTAATTTGTTACAGTGGACTGGGTCTCACCCCTCTTGGGTCTTTTCCTTTCTGCCCTGACTTCCTTTGCCTAAGCCTTGGGTTTCAGGGGCTGCTCCCCATGCCGGCCCTATGCCAGCTGCAGAAATGTGTCTGGAACAGGAGCTTCCCCCTTAGGGCAGGGATGAGGATGGGCCACCAGCATCCTGGCCTATCCTACAAGTGTGTCTTCTCACTCTAGGTTTGCTTATAAAGACGAGTATGAGAAGTTCAAGCTCTACATCACCATCATCCTCATCCTCATCTCCTTCACCTGCCGCTTCCTGCTCAACTCCAGGTGGGTGTCCTGGTGCTGGGGCTAGAGCCCTTTCCAGGCTCTCTGGCACCAACCCGCTATACCACCTCCTCAGGGTGACAGACGCTGCCTTCAACTTCCTGCTGGTCTGGTATTACTGCACCCTGACCATCCGTGAGAGCATCCTCATCAACAACGGCTCCCGGTGGGCAGGGTTGGGGCTTGGCCCTCAGTAGCTCTTCCTGGGGGTTGGAGCTGGGGAGCTGGGGACAGGACTGGGCAGGGCACTGAGCCTGCTGAGGGGCATGGGAGTGACAGCGACTCCGTGATGCAGGATCAAAGGCTGGTGGGTCTTCCATCACTACGTGTCCACCTTCCTGTCGGGAGTCATGCTAATGTGGTGAGTGGCCCGGGCTCCACTGGTGGGAGAAGGGCCCCGGAGAGAGATGGTGTCCCACCTTCCTCTGCTTTCCACCTCAGGCCTGATGGTCCTATGTACCAGAAATTCCGGAACCAATTTCTGTCCTTTTCCATGTACCAGAGTGAGTGTCTCAGAGGTCCCCCCTCAGCTCCCGGTTCTCGCCCATGGTGGGTGGGGATAGGGCAGGGCAAGAAGTCCGGGCTTCAGCCTAGTGCCTCTTGCCGGCCCTCAGGCTTCGTGCAGTTCCTCCAGTATTACTACCAGAGTGGCTGCCTGGACCTCCTGCGGGCCTTGGGGGAGCGACACAC